TAAGGGTATTATTGGAAAATAATTTAAGTCTCCAATCTTGATCGTACACGTGGTGATGATAATTGGTTCTCACATGGTCTGAGCAACATTGGATCAGTAAAGAAACGCAAGGTGACGTGGCTTCAACGGTTACTCATATTCAAATTCAAATACAAGAGGGAAGCCTAACTGCAGATGGTGGCATAATGGAGCTACTTCTAAGGCAACATGATCAGCGATCATGGAGGAGTAGTTCGACGGTTCGAAGAGCAGTTCGAAGGTCATCTTTGACAAGTATAAATAGCAGAGAGACCCCCAGGAAAAAGGGACGGAACTCAGATCATACATACCAGTCCTTATTTCATATTTTACTTTCCAGTTTTAAATTCATGTACTTTCAATACCTGCACTTTACATATCTGCACTGCACTTCGATTCATAGGAGTAGTCTCAAGTAGATTCAAGTAGACTGTTGCTGTAAACCTCTTCGAGGCTGAGTTTGGACTATTGTAAGTTTTTCATCTTTATGAAATACTTCCATTATTCTTCATATTAATTGTTATTTCTCTTAATTTCTCCTAAGTCAAGCCACCAGTAAAAGTCCTCTTCATTGAGGCTGAAAGAACTAAAACACAATCGTCTGATAATTGGTTGGCAATCACAATTTCTGTAAGGACTGATTGATCCTTGTTGGCACGCTCACATTTACAAAAATACCTTTCGAAAAGCCAAAAAAGCCAACAAAAATACTTTCTTTTCTCCTCTTATTTACTCTATCCAAACAAAATATGTGAGAAATCACATTCTGATATCCTTTATTCATTCAAATACAATGGTGAAAAACCATAATCATTTCCTTTCTTTTCTCAATTAGATGAGAAATCATTTCTTTTAGTTTCTTACCTCATGAACCAAATGGAGTGAAAAAAACTTGAATATGAAAAATATGTATAAGTGACTATAATGTATCATAAGAAAACAATACATATTTTATTTTAAAATTTAATATGTATTATCCTTATTACATTAGAGTATACTAAAAATTAAAATTTTAGTTGGACTTACTCAATTACTATTTGAGTGCAAATAAAATCACCTAATAAGTTGGGTGATTTTCAATACATCCCAAAATGTTTTCTTAATTCAAAATTTTTTCCAATATCACCGCCCCTCTTTCCGCCCGGGGGGGGGGGGGGGCAACTATTTGCCCATGATTAAGTTAATTTTTCAAAATATATTTAGATGCATTAGCAATACTCCATCGCAACTTGGGCATTGTCGGATCACGAGTTCAAACCACAAAAATAATCTCTTTACATTCAAGATAAAGCTGCATATATCTGACATTTACAGACTGAAAATAGGGGCAAAGAAAATATATCAAATAATGGATGAAATAACAGTGGTCTTGACAAGTTCTAATGAAGAATTATATCTCATTCACATCTCAATTAGATTACAAATTCTTACCCAGAAACTGTTTTGCAAATGTATCTTGGTAACACAAGCGTATTCACTTATTATATTCTGCAATGCCATAAAATTTTAAAACAAAACTGGGTAGAAAACAGCGCCTAGAAATTACATGAAACAGGGGACACATACCTAATTCAAAAAACACAATTATGACATCCTCCACATTATCAAATGCTTTTGAAAGTAAAAGCAGTATGATAAAATCCCAAATAAAACCTACTGGGATCACTGACAAAATACTAAACATGTCCTATATGATTATTTCAGAACCCCTATTCTTCTTCGGTCTTTCAAATCACTTGGGATGATGGATACACAATCTACACAAAGCCCACCTTTTGAATGTGTGCAATCGATTTGTTTCATTGAAAATCTCACTTCAGTAGTAGGATCTGACTCCTTGACAATGAACTGACCTACCTTACATTCTATCCAGCAGCCGCGTTTGTGGTTTCCATTTGCATTGCCTTGTTGAGTCGCGTCTAAACAGCACTGAGTTGACGCTTGCTGACCATCTGAAGTTGAGAACTCAAACCGTACAGGCTTTATATCCCAACCATGGGTGTGCTTGAAACTGCAAACACGCCGTCCCAGCCTTTTTGAGAATTTTCCAAGGTGAATCCTAAATGACAGAGTATATATATAGCAGGAAAAAAAAACTTGATCACCCCGTCTACTTCAAACCACCATATTTGCTGCAAATAGGCCACTACATGGAACCTGCAATCACAGAACATAAAATATGCACTTAAATTCCAAAAACACATTATTATTTGCTAATGTAAGGCAGAAATATAATCTCAGCAAACTGGTTTAAAGGGCAGGCAGAATTTAACGTTGCTTTTGGATTTATGGATTTGAAATAAATGGGTTTGAAATCAATAATTTGAAGAGTATAGCCTTCAATTCAATGTAATGCTTTAGATATGGGAAATTCTATTGTGTACCATATGAATATTTGGTTAGGATCTTTGAGTCAATGGTTATGATCTATTGTGTTGTTAGTTATGACATATTGTAATGTTGGTTATAACAAAATTTTAGTTATGATCCAAGAGTTTTTTGGTTATACCTCATGTGATGTTTAGTTATTACTCAATTTTATGACTCATATAGTATTGAGTTATGCCATTCGTGATAATCAAACTCACAAATGACATAACTTACAAATGGTACACACCCTATTTCCCTTTAGATATACATATTAAGAATGAATTTAAGAATTTTACATTGATGAATATCAAATAACCAGGTCAAAATAGTTGTTCGAAATTCTTCCATAAAATATTCTACGATCTTAACAAATTAAATGTACCTCTATTTAATTGTCCACTTTAATGTTATCAATCTACTTTCTATAGGTAATCTTCTTATAATTTTAAATTTAACATCAAATTTCTTCATTTGAAATCCACTCATCCAAAGGGAGCCTAAGTTCAATAGTACAAAGTCCCTGCATAGCACACTTGTTTCCAGTTTGCAATTTTATGACAACAAATAAAGCAACTTTCATTTGATATGGGCAAGTTTAAAAATCCTTTACACTATGTTTGGATCTCATATTTATTGAAGGAGCATATTCATTTTCAAATGTATAATTAAAAAAAAAATGGATTTTTTGAGAAGTTATCCTAGCCCAACAACACATAAGGAATCTAGTTTCGCTTTGTTTCTTTCTTTTTTCCCTAAACAAATGCAATAACCAAAACAAAGGTTTAACAAAAAAATGGTAATGCAAACCCTCCTAAAGACACATCTAGCAGTGAGGCTAGCCTCCAATGAGGTCTTAACTCAGTTGACCCATACCATGGAGCAGAGAAACAAAACACATAATTGTTAAGTAGGGGAGTAGAAATATTTTAGTCCATCAGAACCCCATCCTCCAGTCATAATCTAGCACAGAAACTACTCCAATATAAAGTCTAAATGGTATCCCAGGGAAAGATGAGGAGGCATAATGAAAAGTGCAAATCAGTGGTTTGCAGAGAGCAATCCAACACCAGTAATGAAGCAAGAGCTAAATCACAACCTTTTCTTAAAAAATTATAGGGCACTTCATAGATCAACATAATGATAGTAATTCAATGCAATTAGAATAGTCAAAAACAGTATACCAGATGAAGGGAGGATTAGCAGTCCCAGCATGACACAATTGAGTAGTGAATTCTTGTATCAGAAAGATAAATGGTCACATGAGAAAAATAGCAATGAAATCGAGAAACCCAGCAAGATAATGAAGAAAATAATGCTTAACATACCTGCTTATTCAGATGAATAAAAAAGGTTTCACGCTTTCAGACAGAGTTTTCACACTTTCTTTTACAAAGCATCACTTAACAGGATGGATTATTTCAGTTTATTTCTATTGCAATAATGAATGGCCAAGGCAGAGTCCTCACTTATCCTTTTACTTTGCTATCCCCTCCTCAGTTTTGCCAGAAACAAAACCGGGATTGACTAAAATTTTCTGACCTGTTGACTTCTTAAACTTCTCGATTTCCCCATTCCACAAAGGAGGAGCTCAAGGAAGCAATTCCTAAAGCCCCTGCCTAGCAAAAAATGGGGGACCTGTCCACCCATGCAAAATCACAATTACAACGAGGCTGTTGCCTTTGAATATGGTGAACTTAACCATAACACATCAATTCATTATCATCTAACCGTGATCTTTTATGTGATGCAGTGTTAAGTTTTAGCCAAAATCCTAATCCAATGTAGTATTATTGATTTTAGAAGGAACTAGCGCATTCTACCTATCAAAGAATTGCCAAGCAAAAGCTTGATGATAAAACTGATAAAAGCTCTTCAATAAAGCTCTTAGAGAATACAAGTTTCACTTACCAGACCCTCAAATTCTCCCTATTCAATAAACAATGCAACTCATCCAAAAGCACCAGTTCCCATAGTTCTTCCAATTTCATTCTTTTAGTTTCTGATCACAATGCATGCTATGGTCAGCTAAAAAAAACAAATATAAGAACTTACTGAGTATATTTATTAAATTTGTGCCATCTACCCAAAAGGAAATCAACTTTGTTGACCCAAACTTCTGTATTCCCCTGTAAACCGCATACACACACCATATATCACAGATCATACACAGCTCCTCAAGCGTCTCAAATGGTCTCACTTCAGAAAACAATTTTACTCTATAGAATCTATCACCCTAGTAATTTCAAATGGGAACTCTCATAAAATTATGTAATTTTCCATCAAAAATAGAACCAAAAGTAAGGGCATTGAACAGATGAAAGGAGAGATCAAAATTGCTTTTGCTAAGTTCCTAAGAGCCACCTCACAGGCAAGCGTAAAAACAATTTTCAAGGATCCTAGACTTTTAGTCCCATTTTATAAAAAAATAAATTTTGTTTTCTGCTCTATTGGTTTTGTTCCTATGTGCCACCTCACAGGCAACAGTAAAAATGACTTTCAAGGATCCTAGACTTTTTGTCCCCCTTTTAAATATTTTTTTTATATCCTTTTTTTTATTGATTTTGTTCGTAAGTGCCACCTCACAGGCAAGAGTAAAAACAACTTTCGGAATCCTAGACTTTTAGTCCCTCTTTTAAATTTATTATTATATTTTTTTTTCCTTTTTTTTTATATATATAAGTTGGTTTTGTTTTCCTTTCTTACTTCTTGCGGTGCTGGTTGTTGTTAGTAGACAAAACTGTTTTCCAACCAAGACGTAAAACCCAGCACCTCAACTGTTGGAGTGGCAGGGGAAACCACTCAAGCAAACAGCCAGCACCCTCTTTTTATCTCAGGACAGTTGTGCTCTAGTCCTCGTACAGGTCCTTAGCCAAAAGCCCAACAAAAGTTTACAAGGGTCTGGCCCAACAACCTAATTGTAGGCTATTGGTTTTGTTCCTATGTGCCACCTCACAGGCAACAGTAAATGACTTTCAAGGATCCTAGACTTTTTGTCCCCCTTTTAAATATTTTTTTTATATCCTTTTTTTTATTGATTTTGTTCGTAAGTGCCACCTCACAGGCAAGAGTAAAAACAACTTTCGGAATCCTAGACTTTTAGTCCCTCTTTTAAATTTATTATTATATTTTTTTTTCCTTTTTTTTTATATATATAAGTTGGTTTTGTTTTCCTTTCTTACTTCTTGCGGTGCTGGTTGTTGTTAGTAGACAAAACTGTTTTCCAACCAAGACGTAAAACCCAGCACCTCAACTGTTGGAGTGGCAGGGGAAACCACTCAAGCAAACAGCCAGCACCCTCTTTTTATCTCAGGACAGTTGTGCTCTAGTCCTCGTACAGGTCCTTAGCCAAAAGCCCAACAAAAGTTTACAAGGGTCTGGCCCAACAACCTAATTGTAGGCTAAAAAAAAATTGATCACTACTTCAAATTGGAATGGTTGTCTTCAACTATCTCAAAGCTAATTGAAAGATCACCTTGACAATAGTAGGGGCAATAAATGCTTCACTGAACTGCACGTTGAAGTTAATATGTTAGCTGAGAATGAAAAGGAAAGCTACCTTCTACGTAGCATATTCATGACTGGGTGACAACAAGTCACGTCTATCCAGCTTAAAATTAAGACTCATTTTCAGTGAATTTTCATATTTAAGTGGTAAGTGATTATGCATTATCAAACGCAATTGTGCAAACATTAAATGCATTCAGTTTTAAGCATTTAATTATGCTCTTAAACATACTCTAAATCTGGAGAGAGGTAGCACCATAAGTCAAGTGAGATTTGTTTGATCATGCAAAAACTATGACTAATGCTATATGCACCAATTAGTGCACTAACTAGTGTACCAATTGATGAGGTGGCATAATTTAAGATGTCTTTGATATTTGTAATTTGTATAATGAGTGAGATCAATAATAATGTCATAACTAGTATTGATACACTAGTTAATATACTAATTGGTGCATGTAGCACCACTCAAAAACTATAGGACCAATGAGTGAACCAAGAATAACAATAAAGCACACAGATAAATACAAGATAAATATATGATATGACATACACGCAACGGTATGGAAAATCCTAGGATAATAGGTTAAGATCATTGGAAAAATAGTGATAAATGTATTTAAATGCATATCCATACAGATAACTTTTATAAACTTATTCAAGTTTTGAAGTTCTTGAACCCAAAAAAAAATTAGTAATCAAGTAAGAAATCCTTATTTAGGTACCAACAAAGTGATGAAAACGCATTACAAGATCAGAAAAAGTTAAACAACAATCCAAGCTTCACCATTCAAGTATCATAAAATGTAAAAAGAACATTACCCTGTTTTGACCCTATACGTTGCTAGCTGTATCAAAATCTAACTTGTCTCAAATAATACAATTTGCTAGGAGCATCAATCCTTTTGTAATGACCACGGCTTGTGATAGCACATGTTGCGTACCACATTAGAACTCCACATGGGGGTCTTCGGTATATAAGTAGGAGAAATTAACTTAAATGACAACCTTTGGTTAGCCTATTGGGTGAGTTCATGTCTTACAATGGTGTCAAATCCTACTCGCTCGCATGATCGCATGGGCTCACAAGCATTGTGGCATAGGACTAGTGTTCACTGGGCCTCACAATAAAGCCAGTCATAGACATTGTGATTGCGTGGGCCCTTCTAGTGGATACAACAGGACAAAGCATAGCTCTAAAATCTAAATAGTTCAGCTTGGAACCATTAGACAAGACTAAAAATTTTTAGCATCAGATACAAATATACGAGCATTCCTAACAGCTTGTTATATAAATTAACAAATCAACATTAACTGAAATAGTACTTGTGACATGTTTTGAATCTAACCTAGATTCTTCGGTAGGAACCCAATTCCAGTATCTTCGATCGTCAATCCCAGTTATCGCCATCCCTTTTGCCGAGATTGACATACAAACCCTTCCTGTAACCCTGTCCAACCATACTTCCTGTAATATCTCCCACACCAAGAAAAGTATATCAACATATATATATATATATAAATCCTCCAAAACTATAGTTTTCAACCTTTCCACAAAACCAGAGAAAAAAATTACCAAAAACACAAAGCCAGCCACATAATAAACTGAATCAAAACCATAAAACACAAATTAAGAGCTTCACATAAACACCAGTTTTCAAAGTTCTCCCCCAAAACTGCAGTTTTCAACCTTTCCCACAAAACCAGAGAAAATTACTACTAGAAAAACAAAGCCAGCCAAATAATAAACTGCATCAAAACCATAAAACACATATTAAGAGCTTCCCATAGACCCAAATTTTCAAATTTCTCACCCAAAACCACACGCAAAATAACCCTACTTCAAAACCCAAAATAAGACAGAAGGAAATTGTCATTTTCAATCTTAACCACCCATGAAGAAAATCAAGCATTCCCAACCAAAACAATAAACTCAACAAAAATCCCAAATTAAAACCGACCGGAAATTCCAACTCCAAGCACTATACAGAAAATTAGCTCATTCCCAAACACCCAAAACCCTAATCGCCAATTCTTTAACCATAAATTTGAGTTCGAATGAGAGAAGAACATGCCTTGTTGCCATCGCCGAAAGGGAAGGGGTGAGAGAGGAGGGCAAAGATGTCTTTCTTGGTGAGGTTTTGGTGCCTCTCCGGAGGCATTAAGTTGAGGATATCATGGTAGTTCGATGGAAGCTTGGATTCCCAGACGGAGTCGGAGGAGGCGGCGCCGCGGAACGCGCGGTTGAGTCGAGCGAGGTTGCAAATCTCCGGCGGTGTGAGGTAGAGGAAGACGCAGGCCACGCAGCTCTCCGGTATGTCCCCGAAGCCCGAACCTCCGCCGTTGGATGAGCCGTTCGATTCGGTCAAGCTCGACAGCGACGCCCCCATCTTCACCACCAGTCTCCTTCTTCAAATCATTTTTGCAGAGGTAGTGTCGCCGCCGTCAACGGTGGTGGTTGTGGTGGCCAAGTTACTGATACACTATGTGTGTGTGTGTGTGGGGGGAGAGAGAGAGAGAAAGAGAGAGAGAGGGTGTGTACGTGTGAGTGGATGAGAGAGGAGTGGAGAGGGGCGGTGATTAATAGGGGAGGAAGGACTGAAAACAGTGGGATAGGAGACTGGAGAGACAATTTTCTTTCTTTGGTGCTTTTTGCCTATTTTGGTATTTTTGGTAATGTTTTTTGGTCCCTTATATTATTTTCAGGCTGCGTAGCCCGAATGGAGAGGGTCTCGATTATTCCGAATTTTCAAACGACATTGTTTGATTTTTTTATTTTTTTTATCATTTTCTTCTTTTTTTAGGGATTGTTTGGAATGACCCAAATAAGTATATTTTTTGTCTTTTTATGAAAAGATGTGTAGAAAAGTAGAGAGATAATGTGATGAAAAAAAAATAAAAAAATAAAAAGTATGTACTTATTTTTGGTTGCCAAACTTGGCCTCACTCTCTTCTTCCTTCTCCTTCTTTGCTCTGCTACTTTGGAGATCAAAATCAACAACAAAAAAAAATTTAACAAACAAACTCAAAAAAATTATGAGTTTTTTCACCAAATCTAAGAAATAGAAAAATATTCCAAAACAAATCACCAATTTGCAGAGAAATAGAGAAGAACAAATCACCAAAGCTAAGAATAGATCACCAATAAATCTGTTCTTCTCAAAAACTCAAAAAAATACAAAAATCAGAAAAATCAAAATCAAAATCAAAAATGAGGGAAAGGGAGAAGAACTGAGAAAGAAGGAGAGGAGGAAGAAGCCGCCTCTGTCGCCCATCGCCATTGCTCTGTGTCTACACAGATCTGTGTATACACACACAGCCCGTCGTCCCGTCGTCGCCATCACGCAGCCCGTCGTCCCGTCGTCCCGTCGTCACCATCACGCCATCACGTCGTTGCTCTTCTCTCTTCTCTCTTTTCTCTTTTCCCTGTTTAAGGAGAGGAAAACAAAAAAAAAATTTGAAAACGACGTCGTTTTCAATTTCGGGACAATCGAGCTTTGGAATTTTCGAGCCCTCAAGCTTTATTTTATTATTTTTATTTATATTTATATAATTTTAGATAAATTATTATGGTAGTCCTGTATTTTACTCCTTATGTCATTTTAGTCTATATATTTTTAATTAGCTTGATTTTAATCTTAGATTTATAATTTTGTCTCAATTTCTTAGCATTTTTTTTTTAATGAAAAATACGCACATAAGTGTCACATGACATATTTTTAAGGGCAAAATTATAAACTTACTCAGTTAGTTAACCTTAACCAGTTTAGTGATAATTTTCTTTAAAAAATACTAACGATACTATTAATTAGATCAAATTGAAACAAAATCTAAAATTAAAAATCAAAATTGAGCCAATTGAAAGTATAGGGACCAAAATGACATAATGGGTAAAAAATAAGAATACCAGTGTAATTTGCCCATTATATTTTATGGAGCATTTTTACTGTTATAGTTTGATCTAAATTTTACTTTAGTACCTGCACCTTGTTTAGTTTTAATTTGAACATTTCATTCAAATTTTTCGTTAATTTTTTCTGTATGTGCACCTCAAGAAATTCAAATATTATAAAATTGTTGATTTTAACTTTCGACTTAAATGAAGGAATTAAATTGAAACTGGATTTGAAGTATTTGAAATTATTCAATTTAAATAATATAAATTAAAGTAAAATTTGAACTAAACTATAAAAATTTAAAGTATAATTTATTCTTTTTTTTGTGTTAATAAATGCCTTAAAATGTTTGTTAATGAACTTCGAATAATTCTATATTAATAAAGTTAGTTATCCAAAGTTTATCAAGAATTTTATTTAGCTTGTGAAAATGTAAGGACTTTGAAAAAGGAAAGAGATTCAAATTTTTACCTATACTTATAATTTAAATGCGGCCTCAAAAAATAAGGAAGCTTTGGAAACTTACTTAATAACAATCCATTTTCTTTTATTTATAAAAAAAATCCCTAACCAAGTGACATTTTCAAATTATTTATGAACAATTCATTTCTCCACGTGAAATGAATATGAGAATGTGGTCAACATTAGTGGATGATAATATTTAACTTCTGTTTTTTTTTTTTTTAAATAAAAATTTATTATACACACTCTCATATCATATACATCATTAGTTACGTTATTTTCTTTTTTAGTCATAATCAATTTTTTCTTTAATTATGACATTATATTAAGATATTTAGTTATAAATTTTTTTGTATTTAATTATGATTGTTTTTTTAGTTATTGCGCAAAAAGTATTGATGTGGTCATTTAAGCACTAAAATATTTTATTTAAAAATCGGGTAGTAACTATTACTCCCTAGAATAGCGGTCAAGAGCAGATGTCGATGCACAGGAACTAAAGATAAGAAATTTAATATAGAAATTTAGAATTTTGACGGATTTATTGGGAATTTTTGGAGTGAAAATTAAACTATTAATTAAGTGAAATGAAATGAGAAAAATATCTTAGAGCATCCAATGACAAGTCATTGAAGTTGCTATTGCCATAATTTGGCAATTGTTTAGAAAAACCTTGCCGCAATGGTTGGTTATGGCAACTGTCATAATTGCCAACTCATAAGCAAAATCAACCTTCTTCACTCTCAACAAAACATCCCTTCCTTCCGTTTGCCATTTTTGCAAAACCAAAGTTGAAAACTGGTGTGTTCAGAACGTCCGACCATCCCAAACATTAATTTCTGTGCCAAAATGAAAAAAACGACAATCGTCCATTGGAGCATTATTATTATAATTCTACCATTTTCTATTATTCATTGCCATAATTTGGCAATGGCAATGCTATTATAACATTTGCTATTGGAGATACTTTTAGGATTTCGAATCCACCATTGACCACATAATTGAGAGTTGTATTAATTTGTAGAAAATCTTTAATTTGGATACTACGATGTATCTTGGCCTAGATACTTTGTAAAAATATTTTTTGTATAATAAAATCTGAAAGTACGAACCATCTTCGCTTACCACGGACCGTCTCCCTAAATTATAGTAAACTATTTTGAAGCACGACTCGCCTTACTTGGCATGACTTGCTTAACAATTTTACTACACAAACACTAAAAACCATTTGTGTAATGAATATTACATAAAAATATTTGTTGCACAAACAAACCTTCTAACGTTATACAAAATATCTAAATTAAATTAAAATTACATAATTAAATATAACTCAGCCCAATTACTTGATCAGGGTTTCATCTTAACTCTAAAATGAGGAAGTTAGTTCCACGTACTCATGTAACTTCCACTCTAAAAAATGTATATTCTAAACTCTCTCACTCTCCCTTTTTTTATTGCTCTCTCTTTTTCTTTCTTTCCTTTCTTCTTTCTCTCCTCTTGAGCTTGTTTGTTGAAGCTCTTCTTATAGGCATTCAACTTGCAAATAAGATAAATATAATATTATAGTATCTATATATAAGAACCGCTTAGCTGTTTGAGATTCATCTTTTCTTTTCGATTTGCCATTTCATTTTAAATAATTTATTAATGGTGGTCTACATGTTGAGTGAAGGTTTTTTTCGTAATTACGCAAACATCCTTGGACAATTATGAAACTTAAATCTTTTATTTTTTTAACAAATTACAAATACACACGTAAAGTTTGTTTAAAATATGAATCGGTCCTATAATACTAGAAATTACAACTATCATTTGTCATAAATTTTCATTTAACATAATACTCAAGGGAAAAAAGAAAAAAAAAAACCAATTCTCCTATGCAATAATAAATTATCAAAAAATTTTATTGAAAAATATTTCTCATAAAAACTGTTAATTGATTTAATAATTTATTTATTAACCAAATGGTTAACTGAAAAATATTT